AATTCAATGGAATTCTTGGTCCAGTGGTCTACCAAGAAGGTTTGTATTTCATTGAATTGGTTATTATTGCGTATGAACATTTGTTTACAAACGAAGTTCAAACATTGAAACGAACTTGCGAACTTTGTTGCGAAGTTCGCGCCCAATTTCCGAACTTGGAAACGTAATTGGCAAGTTCGCAACGAATTTGGGAACCGCGCGTTGAAAAGTGACTTGAAATCGACAATAACAATGAAAATAATTAACATAATAACATTATAACCAGGCGACGATTAATTGATAAAAAGGAAAAAAACGATGTGTTTTGAAACCCAATTAAACCGATGTTGTTCTAGGCAACGGAAAACCCGCAAAAAAATTCGGAAAAAAACTGTTTGTTTGAAATTTAACAATATTGAAACAAAACGGCAGCTTACTGAGCTTAGTTAACGTTTTCTGACGAAACTTTCAAACGTTAACAAATAGTACACCTAACGGTGGCTTACCGCTTACATATTAAGGCAGCACTATACCGTTTATACATGAACAAGCTTTTAAACCATTACAATTTCTTTTAAAACTGAAGTCATAAACGTGTGGCGTGAAGTTTAAAGGTGATCTACAGTCCGATCTGCGCATGTGCACAAATGAGCCCACTTTTTATGATACAAACAGTTTAACTATGTTTTGAGTTCTTGAAAAGCCTGATTGTTGTTTCTTGATCATTTATTATACTCTAGGAGCTTGAAAATATAAATAGTTGTCGAATAAAGCTCAATATTTTGGACACAAAAATGTAAACAAAGGCTTTGTTTACATACGGACTGTAGATCACCTTTAATCTAACTATAGTATATATTTTGACATAATTTATAAAAATCGTTTTTCTCAGACGATTTTCGGATTGGCTTCTGCTCTACAAATAATTCTTGATATCGCGTAATTATGACGTCATCTGTAGATAAAGTTTTCTACATGTAGTTCTCTGCATGTAGATATCACATCTGCAGATGATAATTGCAACACCTGAAAAAGCCAGCCTGTTTACACGAAGAGAAAACAACGCTATGGCGTTATTTGCCGTGGTAACTGAGAGCAATTTACAAAACAAGTGCACGAAAGGAAACGGAAAACATTAAACGAGTTACAAAGACAGTATATTGAGAGTTTTCAACGAGTATCTTGAAGTGAAAAAGATAAAGCGAAACTTAAGAGAAATAGATCGTTTCCGAAGTCGTAAAACTGTTAAACTAAAACCTTTTTCTTGTATACAGGAGGTATATCCTGTCCTTTGCCACTAGAAGTAACGAAAAGTCTTCACAAAAGTTATGTTTTTGAACTTATGTTTTTGAACTTTTTTTTTACCCCTTGACTTGAAATCACAATCTTTATTCGCACATTTTCAAAACTAACTTTTGTTAAGGCTTTCTTTGCTTATGGTGGCAAAGAACAGGATATAGATACAGGGACGCCGGAACGATCTGAAGGCAAGGGGGGGGGGCAGATTTTCGTGAAAGGGCACTTTTGAATTGATATATACTAAGAGATGTTTACAAAACATCGGGAGTTGAACTTCGCCTAATCATGTTTTCTATTTATTGGATGATAGGGGTGTGAGGGGGTTCTCCGCCAGGCGATTGTGCTATAACTGCCATTTTTGAAGCTCGATGAATGCATTTCTTGCGTTTTCTGAAGCAAATTCGTAAAATAATTGCACTAACATTTCTGACAATTCGCTATTTCGCCAAGGCAATCCTTTAAATTGAAAGGGCACCTTTGCCCCCCTTGCCCCTCGTGGTAAAGGGCAACGGGAGCGGCTGCTCCTCCTGCCCTCCAGTTCCGGCGTCCCTGTATAGATATACCATCTTCTATAGGGGAGG